GGAACTTCATCAAATCCTGGTGAGAACTGGCTGGAAAGATTAATTCACTCCTACAGAATGACTGGCTAGAGGTTTTAAAAAATAAATCTCTTCCCAGGTGGCTGTGAGGCAATCAAATTTCCAAGAAATTCCTAGTAAATTGCCTCCAGGATTTTTTTTTTTTTTACAGTTTTTTGAGAGGGAGTTTCGCTCTTGTTTCCCAGGCTGGAGTGTAATGGTGTGATCTCGGCTCACCACAAACTCTGCCTAGTATGTTCAAGTGATTCTCCTGCCTCAGCCTCCCAAGTAGCTGGGATTATAGGCATGCCCCACCACACCCAACTAACTTTGTATGTTTAGTAGAGACAGGGTTTCTCCAAGTTGGTCAGGCTGGTTTCAAACTCCCAACCTCAGGTCATCTGCCCACCTCAGCTTCCCAAAGCACTGAGATTACAGGCATGAGCCACCACACCGGGTCCAGCCTGAGAGGTTTTACAGTAGGAGCCTTAGGTCCGGTACACGGTCTGAGGGCTATCAGGGATGTCCCATTCCTGAGAGGAGGAAGTGTCTGATATGTCCAAAGTCTTCCTTGGACAATGACTATCCTCTTGACTGAAGGTCAGTGGTACGTATACTCAGGCACACAAAGATAGACAAGTGCCACAGGTACACACACACACACACTTACAATCCATAGGCCATCAAACTTCAAGCTCCTCTCTGGATTCTGCGGATTGTTGTATAGTTCTTCTATTTCTCTCTTCCACCACTTGGCAGTTGAATTACGGAAAAAGTCTGGGAAGGCCACATAAGCTCGATATAGCTGTAAAATATAAATATAATTTGTATGTCCCACACAAATATGTAAGACAGCAAACAGACACTTACTGAGAATGCAACTCACACAGATACTTGAACTGCATGGTGACAGATGGCCTGAATGGGGCCTAAATAATGTTATTAACTAATTAGAGAAACGTAGAATGAGAAGAGAAATTAGTGCAATTTGCACACTTCCCCAGCATTTGGAAAATATTCAAAAACTGTTCTCTTCATATACACATGGTTGATGACAATCAATGACCTGAACTAATGACCTCATGCATTCGACGCCCAACCCTCAACGTCAGTCCTGCCATTTCCTAAGCACTCCTCAAACACAAAGCCAGGGAGAGACTGCAGACATCAGATGCGTGGTAATAGGTTAGGAAGAAACACCCAGGGAGTCCCTCCTATATCATTCCCACTGAGACAGGGAGGAAAGAATAAGATTACATTTCAGGATATTCAACCAGTACGCCTCAGTGTTTTCTACAATTTCAGAATCACAGGACAACTACAGCTGTTGGAGCATAAATTGAGAGGACTTAAAGAGAATGCATCGACTTCCCCTTATTTCCCTCTTCCCTCAAATAATAAAAGCAGTGTCTTCACTTATCTGAAAGACAGATTCAAGATACAAGTTTTTTAACTACATTGTAGATTTTTGAGAGTAGGAAGTTTGTTTTATATTCTTCTGAGTGATATTTATATTGCCCACAATGTTCAGCTTAGAACCTGCATAAAATACTCAGTGTTTAGTAGTGGGTTCACACCACTTAGAAGCAGCAAATAAATATCCACACATTTTAATATACTCATATTGTTTGTTATGGAACATTACGGTCCTTTGTATGTCTCAGTAAATAGTCTCCTCTATGCTAATCACACCACTGTAAGAGTTAAAGAGCTAAAGAATGTTTGTGAGGAGGGTGGGGGAGGCAACAGAAAGAGGACTTGGTCTAGGGGAACTCCAGTTCTCATACACCACAGATAAAAGGCAGGTAGGAATCCAGATGTCTAGATAAAGGGCAAAAGAAGGAACACAAGAAAACAGGAACAGATCAGCCTCTATGGGTCTGGCTGTCAAGGATGTGAGAAGACAGCGGCTCACATCACGCAGAATCTTGAGAGAAGTGGGCTTGCCAGGGATGCCTTTTGTGAGGAAATGGAGGCAGAAACCAGGAAACCCAATAAAGAGAACTTTTCACCAGAAACAGAGAGCTCCAGATCAGGCAGGGTTAGAAACAATGGGATGGGTGGGGGATGGAGAATTAGAATAAAGAGAGTATCAGCCACATCTGAGTCAGAATTGTATCGCATATGGGGTACACGTGGGGAAACTGGCCAGCCATGACATATGAACTTCCCTAAGGACTGCTCGGACGACCCCTTTCAACTTCATAAAAATGTTCTGCCGTTCTCCACGGTGCTGGCTTTGCCTGCCCATATTCAAGTCTTGCCTTGTGGCTTCTGCCTTTACTTTCTCCAGTCTTCAAACAGTGATGTACCCACCCACGCACTGGGCCTCAGGATCACCTAGCAGTCTTTTTGTAGCGCATCATATGCTACAAAACGCAATTCATAGATCCCATCACAGACTTATTGAATCAAATCACTGGAGCTTTGGACTCAGAAATCTGCTTTTCATAGGCTTCTTGACTGTTTTATGCTCAGCGAAGCCAGGCCTGTACATCAGGGGCTTCATCCTCACCAGCCTCGTCAAGTGGGTCTCACTGTTAATAATATAAATATTAGATTGGTGCAAAGGTAATTGCGGTTTTGGAATTAAAAGTAATGGGAAATATGACCTGTGCACCAACCTAACAATTACAATTATTCTATCTACCAACAATCTCTTATGAGCTACCTAAAAGATTACGTGAATCCCCTAATGAATGTTTCTTATCAGAAACCCAACTGGCATTTGAGGCATAAGATTTTTTGTGGAGAATTCCCTGCAATCAGAGCTACTGGCATCCCTGCCTACTGCCCATTAAATGCCACCTGGTGTCCCTGTGATAACCAACACTGCCCTCAGATTTCCAAATGGCCTCAGGGTGGCAGTGTTGCCCCTACTGGCTGCTGAACTGTGGGGCTCATAATGTAGTACCTGACTACTTGATAAAAGACAAGAGGCCAATGACCCAGAACTTCTCTGGCTGGGCAGGTTCCTGTGTCCATGTGGGCTGCTTGGACCCCTCAGCTTCAAGTTATTCACTGTGAGAAGTAACAAGAGGACAGGAAGCTAGGTCTTCTCCTTTGAATACTTACCTGACAGATGATAGATAAATAGACAGATACAGAGTGGATACAGTAGGTAAATGGATAGATACGATAGATAGATACATAGATAGATAGATAGATAGATAGATAGATAGATAGATAGATAGATAGATAGATAGAGAGCTAGATAGACAGAGAGACAGATATACATAGATAGATACTTGTGCAGTACTACATAAAAGGAAAACAGCCTTGAACTGAGTCTGACTCATTCTTGTCAATCTTCAAAACCTGCCCCAGCTTCTGTTTTGTTTGTACTGTTTTACTGAATTTACCGACAGAAAATAAAGACATGGAGTCCAATATTCAAGCAACCTGGTCCCAAGCGTGTCTCATTTTACATTGAAAAGAGCAACAGCTGCCAACTGGCTCTGGAATCCCGGAAGTCAGAGACTGACAACAGAGAAGTAGGCATCACAGGCTTGCAGTACCTTCTGCTCTCACTACCCTGTTGGAGCTGTCCGAGGTCCCAGCCTAGGGTCCAGATTTTGGGGTTGTATCTAATATATGTCTTTCCCTCTAGGACTCACCACTTGCCCTGAAAACCAGTTTATCTGGATAAGGCATGAATTTTTGGCCTAACTCCTGCTAGTCACGTTCCTGGTGATGAGTGTTTCTCTTGCACCTCTCTCCGTGGCTACAATCTTTCATCATGTAGAAAGAACCCCAAAAAGAGGTCTTCACCCCTGGGCTTCTGAGTGGCTGTTAACTGAATTTACAACTGCTGAGATTTGTTCCCACAATATGGATATTTCTCTGATTAATGCTTGATCCTGAGAGAGTATCTAGACTCCACAACATATACCACATTGCTGACAGCACAGGACAGTTCCTTTGTCCCTTTAATTCCTGGCAGATGTGCTAGAAAAGAGGCCTTTTCTTTGTCTCCTCAGCTCTCCTGTGGGGGTCACATAGGCTACACATGCCCTGCTACAATTCCTGCCCAGAAAGAATAACCATTATTGAGGAACAGCTCAAGAGGCAGGGCAAGGTACTTGCTCTCCAGGAAGTCCTTGGCCCCACCCCGAGAATCCTGCCTGTGGGTACTGTCACAAAAATTGATAGTTAAGCTCAAAGGCTGCCTCAGTTCAGGAGACACACATCTTGGCCAGAGGATGGGGCTGTAGGCTTCCTAGCCCTGTAAGGAGCCATGTATTCATTCAAGCGAGAAATACTTAGTGAATCTGGAAAAAAATTCAGGTCCAGAAGCATGGGCCACCTGGATCCATTATAAGCAACAAACCGTCCACAGGAGAGAGCAGGTTTTACAATAAGGTTGGAAACTGAGAGGTAAAAGCAAAGGTGAGAAACGCAAGGAAGGATTGGGCTCAGAGGAGGACTTATAAGTGTGAAGATGGAGAACCTGTTCATGGGGAAAAAAAAGAAAAATATACAAAGAAAAAGACCTAGTCAGTCTTCCAGGATTGAAGACTGTTAGAAAGGGAAAACCATGGCAACAACAGTAAGTATGCCAGTCCAGGGAGAAGATAGCACTTCTAGGAGGTATCGCCCAGTGGAAATTTCCTGGGCCTTTGGAATCTGATAGCCTTGGAATTGAAATCACCACTTTGTCATGTAAAACTGGAGAAAAGTAATTTAAGCTCTCCGGTCTTGAATCCCAAGGATAATAATACATATCTACATCCCAGTGGACAGTAAAGTATTACTCCATATGAGGTAATGGGCACAGACTGATACCCAAGACACATGACCTAAGTCTTTGTCCCTTGTCATGTCTATGTCCACGGTACAGGCATGTCCAGAATCCCAGGAACGGCTGCCCCTGCCTAGAAACACTGATGCAACCCAAATTGACAAAGACCCTTTTACCTCCACTTGGCTGTCCCAGTCTAGAGATTCATTCACTACAATACCAGGAAAATCGGGCCAGACCTATGGAGAGAAACACGCTAAGTAGCCTTGCACGAGAGAGTTTCCCCTACATAGGATTTCCAAAGAAATTGTTGTATAAACCATGTTCTAGGAGCAATGATACTTTGACTATCATGTAGGATTGACATAAAAGAAAAGTGAATGCCATAACATGTTACATTACTTTAAAACTCATTAATTGTATCAACAAATATTGTTTGAGAAAAGGAGAGCTTCAGACCTTGGGTCAAAATAGAAAACGCCAAAAATAACATACACAGGCGTGTGACCCACTAACCGTGACCCACCCGCAGGCTAGGGACTAGTGGATCATCCCTTAGGATTATACCTTTCCCCAGACAATGTCTCCATCATTTGGGTATTTGATGAAGATGTCATCCTCCAAGCCCCGAGTGAAGGCAGGATAGGGCTGTGTCTCATTGCCGGAAATGGCTGGATCCTGAAATCAAAGCATAAGTCAGCTGGGAAAGCCAAAGTCAGAGAATAAGGAGAAACAGAATAAAGGAAAACTCCTCCAGGGTGAACTCGCTGGCTTCTACCTGAACTGTAGACTTTCTGTGAGTCCTGGGAAATACAGAATTCTTACTGCACTTCAATTTATCTACTTGCAACATGGAAATAAAGTATAACTCTTTCTCCACCAAAGCCCATACCTGCTCCCAAACTGACCACACACAT